TAAAAATAAAGATTTTTGTTAAAGTAAATAAATACCTATTGAAATTAAAGAATGCTGAACGAAGTAGATCACATAATTAAGAATCACTCGTTCAAAGCATTTAAAAATATATACAAATACATCAAAACGGTAGAGTCAACTCTACATGCTCTTTATTAATTTGTTTGTTCGATGCTCTATAAGAGTAGCCGAACACCCAGTTAATAAACCACCAATACATAATAATAAAATTTTTATATTTGTAATATTTATATAATTTAATATGTCTCATTAATTGCCTATGTTTGCTAACTTGAAGGCAGCGGATTTGAGTTCCTAAACATTATTCATAACATTATAAATCATATATATGAATTAAGAGTTAATATTCAATTAGGAATTAAATTTTTAATAAAAGCAGAGATTTTTATTAATGTTAATAAATATTTTTTAATAACATGGAATGTTCAATGAAGTAGACTATATATAAAAGATTTTTGTAGTTCATAGAATTGAAAAATTATGTTTAAATTCACTAAATTAGTAGAGGAAACTATAAAAGCTCTTTATTAATATCTGTTCATTGCTCTAGAAATGTCAATGTATAGGAAATTAATATATCATTTATTTAAGGTTATTTTATAACGAATAATAATAGTAGTTATTATTCTACATGTTTTTTATTAATTTGATTATTCAATATACTATTAATTTATTTGAAAGGACAATTAATAAATTAATCATCTTTAATAAAAAAATTTAATTTTTCCTTATTTTTAATTTTTTAATTGTATATACAAGCTATTAAGAAGATATAAATATGCACATGTTTTAAATGAAGTTCTCTGTAAAAAATATATTTCTTTTTAGTTCACATCTATGTATATATATTTTTTTTATATTTTTAGCTAGATTTGCTTCTAAAAAAAAAAATTTTTTAAGTTTTCATATTTCACATTTTTTCAGATTCACGTCACAACATTTATCTTATATGTTGATAATTCATTTCATTAACCATCTTATGCACTTTATTTCTTAAGTTTATTTAATTAATGAAAGAAAAAATTTAGATAAATGGTAGATGTTACTTAAGGTTGTTATTATAATTAAGGAATTATTCTATTTTGTATGAAATTATTACTTATTTAAATTGGAAAAATCTATTAAAATTAAAAAAAAAAGTTAACTATGAATAAAATTAAAATTTTAACTTCAAAAAATTAAGATAACATAAAAAAGAAATAGAACATTGGATTTTAAGTTGTAAATAGATATTGCAACATATATAGTTACATAAGTTATATTATTTAAATTATTTTAAAGATGTAATTAATGGTAATTTTATACATATATCATTTACTCAATTATTAGAATTTTAATATTAAGATTGATATATTGGCATAAAAGTATTAGCAAAGCTACACTATATATTGATAAAAATAAAAATAAATATAAAAATAAAACTTAAACTATTAAATGATGTTATTAAAAACAAATGTAATCATTTTTATAAATATAAATGGAATATAAACATAAAAATTACAATAAGAAATATATTATATAACATTTTCTGTTTAAAATTTTTTTGTATCTTATTTTAATGATTCTTTTAAAATATAAAGTTGAAATGTAACTAATATATATATTATATATCCTCTTTTTTGAAAGACTATATTATTTTCTTTATTTTTTTTTTTTTTTGGTTAATTGAATAGATTTTATGGTATTTGCATAATAAAATATTATATTTTTTATATATTTAACAGATACGTAAATTATAGAATATGCAAATGGATAATAAATTATCTTTCTGATATAAAAATTGATAAGAATGAAATAAAGTTTCATTTAAATTATAATAGAGACATCTTTGAATTAGGTTAACAAAAAGCAATATTTTGAAAATTATCTACAAGTAAATCTTTCATTTTATCTATACATAAGATTAATTTATAATACATAAAACACATACATTTAAAATACATGACAAATTTTAGAAAGAAAACTAAGGAATATATCATTTGGGGTTATGTTATTCCTCATCTTTAATAGAAGCAGAAATATATAAATATTAAAAGATGTTATCTACAATA